ACACACATTCAACACTAAGGCCGGTAATCCAATGGGAAACCCAGAGGTAACCTGGCCTGTTTTTGTTGACAAGAAATCACCGTCAACAATTGGCGACTCCACTGGGGATCGAAAGCGTTTGACCCCCAACAACATAGTTAGCAAGCACGCCTCGAAGAAAGAAAATTGAGGCCATCAACCGAGGCAGCCAGATTGACGAAACCGCCACCCATCCAGGGAATAACGGGATGGAAGAAGATCCATGCCTGGTCGAAAATGAAGTCCCACCCCCAGACGCGCCACGGCCGGATCTTGTGCAGATGCAGGCCCAACTAACTACTCTAACCGAACTAGTATGTGGGCTAATGACCGTGGTTGAGCGCTTGGATGGAAGGAACTCTATGCCGCCGTTAGAAGATGCCCCGAGGCCGCTGGGACCTGCCATGGCTGAAAATCCGAACCCCGGTGACCACCCACATATCCAAGAGGGAACTGGGGATAGCGAGAATCACCGGGGCCCTCCTAGGCCTCGACCTTCCCAATCCTCCAGCAGCCGTTTAAGGGCCGCCGGACATCGGGCTCCCGAGGATCGGATATCGAGAGGCCCGGGAAATCTCGAGGTACTACCCCAGAATCCAGGGGGAAACCCACCAAGAGACTCAGGGTCAGTACAGGCGGGCGGCCTGGCAAGGGGCGGACCCAACGCTCAAAGGGCAAAGGCGTCGAGGGTTGCTGGAACGGCCATCTCAACAGAAGAAGCGCGTGCCATCATGGAACGTATGGCCAGCCTGGAGCAAAAACTCACAGGGGATGTGGCAAGCCTGAAAAATAACATAGGGCGAGTGGCTGAGGTGGTAAACGTTGACATCACACCAAGCCGCACACATGACCATCCGTTTTCCGCAGAAATAATGGCGCCCCTCTCCTCGACAAATACAGATCGCCATCGATCCCACCATATGATCGTCGAGGGGATCCCGACGATCATTGGGAGATGTACACAGGACACATGCTCTTACACGGGTATGCTGAGGAAATCATGTGCCGAGCTTTCCGGAACCATTTAACGGATTCTACTCGAAGATGGTTTCGGACGCTGAGGCCAAATTCTATCTCAAGCTGGGATGAGTTGAAGGAAGCATTTTCCTTCCAATTCATAGGGGTTAAAAAATACGTCCCCCCGAAGTGGAATCTGACAACGATATACCAAAAGCCAAACGAGTCATTAAGGGAATGGCTCGTAAGATATGGGGAAGCTGTCGCTGCCACGATGGATATAACAGACAGAGAGGCCTTGATATGGGCATTATCTAGCATGAAGAAAATTACCCCCTTCAAGAGAGAGCTGAACCGAAAACCCCCGTCCAGCTACAAGGAATTTCTTGCGCGAGCGCAGGGGTACATCAACGCCGAAGAGGCAGACGCAAATGACCCCGAGCATAGGTCCAACAAGAATAAAGGGACCGAACAAGGGTCGACACCTGCAAAACAGGACGGGAAGAAGCGTCGAGGTGGAGGAAGCGGAGACAAGCAGTCAGCTGCGACGATGAATGCTCCAGAAGCCAAGAAGCCAAGGCAAGAGGATACATGTTACGCGAAAATTACTTTTGCTTAAAATAGCGTGTGTGCTCGCAAGTGTACGAATCGCGAAGTAATAATGATCCGAAGATCGAGTATCGTCCTCTGGGATTGTTAACTAGGAAAGAGCTAAGTATTGCTATTAATCTAGACCAATTTTATCTAGACAATATAGAATAAGGGAATTAAAACTAAATTGAACGACTTAACTAACTAAAATATGCAAACAACGGATGCCAAAGTGAATTGGATTGAAGGGATCTCTGTGATAAAATGAGCTAGGAGGGGATTTGACTTCACCTAATTATGCTATATTCATCTAAATCTGTCACTTACTGATGTGTTACATCGAATCTTAAATCATGAGTACTAAGATAATCTCACTCCCTCTCCCGAGCGCTAAGTGAAATAATATGCTAAATTAATTAAACTAATATCCCTATTAATTTAACCAATTATGCATTCATTAAGTTTAGCCCATATTCGATCTCCTAAGGTTATACTAGCCTCCCGACTCAATATCTCCTTAGGTTGCGTCTCTTAATTCTCAACGTATGTAATTAACTCTCCCGAGCCTAATTTCATACATCTAAGGTCTCTAATCTAATGGGTAATTAAATTAGAAATTAAGCACAAGAGATACAAAAGATTAGAGTATAAGACATTCAATAAGCAAACAGATTTTTAAAATACAACTTTCATTAATTAGATCAAACCCCCCCTAGCGTGAGGAGTTTAGCTATCCATGCACAAAATCAAATACACAATTACAAAATACCAAAGATCCATAGTTCAAGCAGAAAATTAAACAACTATTCAAGAAATACAAAGGGAGAAAGTAATGAAAAACTCCTGTTGGATAATCTCCTCTGAAGCCTTCAAACTGCCTTGAATCCCCTTGAAAATCTCCAGAAAAATCCTTTGTTATAGCTGCTTTCCCTTTGGTTCTAGGGTTCTTGCCGTGTCTCTGGCTCAAATCCACTCTCCGTGTCTGTCCCCTCTTCCAGCAGCTTTATTTTCCTTTTATATCACCTCTCGAATGTGCACAAATCTCCAATTCGAGATAGGCGCGCTGCAGCCCATGGATGTGCGCTGCACGCGCATCATTGGTTCCAGGACGCGTGCCTAAGCCCACGGACGTGCGCTGCAGCGCGCGCCTCAATGATTCTGGGATGCGCACCTTGAACTGCGCCTAAGCGCGCGAGGCTGGCTGGCAGGCGCGCTACAGCGCCCTTTGGGGCGCTGCAGCCTGAAGCTCGAGTGCTCTCTGGAATGCTCTCTGGAAGTCTCAGGCTGTGGCTTTCCTCTCATGCGCTGCAGCCCGCCCAAAATGGAGATTTTCATGGACTTCTTTATCTTTTTCACTTGATTTTCTCCACTTTGCAAAGCCTACAAAATAAATTAACATAAACGTAAAACTAGTGACAAATTAACTGAAATATGCTCAAAAACTATAATATATGACGGGATTAAATTGATGAAAAAATCAACTTATCAATACCCGTAAGCCTTGACTCTTTCAAAAGTACGATTCCTACCACGAGCTAATGGTAGGAGTCGAGGAGGTTTTCAACCAGGTCAGCCGCGGAAACTTGCTGCGCCGACCAGAACCGATGAAATCGGATCCCAGCCGAAGGAACCAAAAGAAATTCTGTAGGTTCCACGGTGATGTCAGCTACCACACCAACGATTGCGCCGACCTTAAGGATGAAATCGAGAGAGTAATCCGCGAGGGGAGGCTATAGGAGTTCAGAGCCGAGCGGAGACCTCGAAACGACGGCCACGGTGGACAGAATGACGGTCGACGCCAAGAGCAGAACCAGCGCACAGAGGACCGAGAACCCGTTGGTGTCATACGAACTATCCTCGGCGGTCTCTATATAGGAGGAGACTCAAGCAGGTTTTAGAAGGACTACGCCCACGAGGCCAGGGGGTTTACCAAGAGGTTCTGGAGCGTCTCTGCTGCAAAAACCCCAAGATATAGCCACACTGACGTGGCCTTTAATGAGGACGACGCCAGCGGAGTTCACTTCCCCCACAACGATGCATTGGTGGTGGAAGCCATGATTGGGAACCACACTGTATGCTGAATCCTGGTAGACAATAGGAGTTCGGTGGACCTCCTATACTCCGACTACTTGGAAAAAATAGGGATCCGAAAGGAGCAGTTGGAAAAGACCTCTAGGCCATTATACGGTTTCACCGGGGACTCCGTCATCCCTCAGGGGACTATCCGGCTGCCCATAACTACAGGAGAGAAACCCCGACATACTACGACAATGGCCAACTTTGTGGTAATAAAGGGAGGCTCCCAGTACAACGCTGTAATCGGGAGACCAACCCTTCAGGCGCTAAGGGCAATAACCTCCATCTACCACCAGAAGGTCAAGTTCCCTACCCCAAACGGCGTAGGTGAAATGAAGAGCGACCAGTATGAGGCTAGGGTTGCATACTCCGATGCCCTACGCGGATACGACCAGCCAGGGAGATAGGAAACTAGGATGGTCTATCAAAACACCGCCAAAGACATAGACCCCAGGGTTCAAGAGGAGGTCACATGGTCCCAACCCATCGAGCAATTGGTGGAAATCCAAGTTGATGAAGGTGAGCCAACCAAAGTACTAAAAATAGGCTCGGACCTAGCCCCATCACTTAAGGTCGAGATTGAAAACTTCCTCAGAAAAAACTTAGATGTCTTTGCCTGGAATCATGCTGACATGGAAGGGATCGACGCCGAGGTTATATGTCACTCCCTGAACGTTGACCCCTCATATCCTCCTAAGTGCCAAAAGCGTCGACCAATGAACCCCGAGAGATATGAAGCGCTGAAAGAGGAGGTCGACAAGCTGATCAACAATGGGTTCATCAGGGAGGCCCATTACCCATGTTGGATCTCAAACCCCATTTTGGTGATCAAGCCTAACGGAAACTGGAGAACATGCGTCGACTTCAGCGATCTCAACAAAACCTGCCCAAAGGATGGCTTTCCACTCCCTCGAATAGACCAGATGGACGCCACCACAGCGGGACATGGGATGCTGAGTTTTATGGACGCCTACTCCGGATACAACCAGATCCCCATGCATCCAGCCGACGAGGAACACACATCCTTCATAACCGACAGCGGCCTCTACTGCTACAAGGTGATGCCTTTTGGCCTGAAGAATACGGGGGCTACCTACCAAAGGCTCGTGAATAAGATGTTCGCTCAACAGCTCGGCAAAACAATAGAGGTCTATGTCGACGATATGCTTGTGAAAAGCGCCAGGGCCAGCCAGCACGTCGACCATCTGGGTGAAATGTTTGGTGTATTGAGAAAATTCGACATGAGACTAAATCCCCAGAAATGTGCCTTTGGAGTTGGGTCGGGGAAATTCCTCGGTTTTATGGTCAGCAACTGAGGGATAGAAGCTAACCCTGAGAAGATTAAAGCCCTACAGGATATGCGGTCCCCAACTAAGTCAAAGAAAGTGCAAAGGTTGATAGGATGTGTCGCTACCCTAAACAGGTTTATATCAAAAGCAACAGACAAATGCGTCCCCTTCTTCGACGCTTTGAAAGGAAGCAGGCGCTTTGAGTGGATACCACAATGTGAAGAGGCCTTCCAAAAATTGAAGGAACATTTGGGCAAGCCCCCAATTATGTCAAAACCAAACCCCGATGAAGAGCTTAGCGTATACCTCTCCATGTCCCAACATGCCGTAAGCTCCGTATTAATAAGAGAAGAAGAAAGGGTGCAATTGCCAATCTACTACGTGAGCAAAAGGCTCCTCGACACCGAGTTGAGATATAGCGAAATGGAATGCTTGGCCCTCGCCCTAATGGTAGCTTCAAGGAAGCTTCGGCACTATTTCCAATCCCACACAATACGGGTTCTTACAAACCACCCGTTGAGACAGGCTCTACAAAAGCCCAAAACTTCCGGGCGACTTCTTAAATGGTCAGTAGAATTAAGCCAATTCGACATTAAATAGGTGCCAAGGACTGCGATCAAGGGCCAGACGCTGGCTGATTTTCTAGTCGAGTTCTCCCATAGACCGGCTCCCGCCGCACCTGAAAGCGTCGAGAATACATAATGGAAGCTCTACGTAGATGGAGCGTTGAGCGATAACGGGTCAGGAGCCGGCGTCTTGTTGATAAGCCCAGAAGGCCACAAGATTACCTCGGCGGTTCAATTTAAATTCAAGGCGTCGAACAATGAGGCAGAATACGAGGCGCTAATTGCGGGGTTGCGATTGGCCAGCCACCTAAAGATCGAGAGGCTCAGCATCTTCAGCGATTCTCAATTGGTCGTCGGGCAAGTGAAAAAAGAATACCAAGCGCACGGTGTGAAAATGGGAGCGTACTTGAGAAAGGTAAAGGAAGAACTCATCAAGTTTAAAAACTACGAGATACTTCAGATACCACGAGCCAAAAATGCAAACGCCGACGCTCTAGCAAAGCTAGCATCTTCGAAAGATTCTGGCACACTAGGGGTCGTTCCCATCAAAGAATTGGAGCGGCCGACCATTGAGGAAAAAGCTAAGGCATTAATCGTCCAAACAGATGAAAATTGGATGACGCCACTCATCCAATACCTAATGGACGCACAACTGCCAAGCAATAAGGACGAAGCTAGATGGATCAGATACCGAGCTGCTAGATACTTATTGTATGATGGTTTGCTTTACCGACGAGGCTACTCAACACCTCTACAGCGGTGCCTGGATGATGCTGAAGCCCAGAAGGTCCTCCGAGAAATCCATGAAGGAGTCTGCAGTAATCATACTGGGGGACAGTCTTTAGCTCTTAAGGTTTTGAGGCAAGGATACTACTGTCCCACGCTAAAAAAGGACGCTTTCCAATACGCCCGACGTTGCGATAAATGCCAGAGGTATGCCACAATTCCTTGAGCACCCCCAAAAAATTTAACCTCCATTCTCAGTCCATGGCCCTTCGCCAAATGGGGGGTTGACCTGATCGGGCCACTACACCTTGCACCTGGAGGCTTTAAGTTTGCCATCGTCGCGGTAGACTACTACACGAAATGGGCAGAGGCAAAGGTTTTAACTACGATCACGGAAGCAGCCTACACCAAATTCATGTGGGACAACATTGTGTGCAGGTTCGGGGTTCCCCACTCAATAGTATCTGACAACGGAAAACAGTTCGACAATGCCTCAACGCGCAGATTCTGCCACAGTTTAGGCATTCAGAAAGACTTCTCGGTGCCAGTCCATCCACAATCTAATGGACAAGTCGAGGCGGTCAATAAAATATTAAAGTATACCCTCAAAAAGAGACTCGACGATCTAAAAGGGAAATGGGCCGAGGAACTCCCCAAGGTCTTATGGGCATACAGAATGACGAGCCGAACTACTACGGGTGAAACACCTTTCTCCATGACGTATGGCGTCGAGGCAGTGCTCCCTGTAGAAATCGAAACGCCGACCTTAAGAACCGTCATCCACAACGACGACGACAACATAGAAGGCATGAACAGAGAACTCGACTTATTGGAAGAAAAGAGGCTCGACTCCCAACTACGCCTCACCGCCTATCAGCAAAGAGCAGCATGATATTACAATAAGAGAGTTCGACAAAGGAGGTTCACCCCAGGAGACCTAGTATTAAAAAGGGTAACACAGAGTACAAAACCCAAAAATATTGGTCCACTGGGCCCAACTTGGGAAGGGCCCTACCGCATAAGGGAAGTGTTGCGCCCTGGCACCTACATTTTGGAAAGTCTCGGCGGCAAAAGAATTTAACACCCATGGAATGCAGAACAACTAAGGCTGTACTATCAATAGTGTATGTAATTCTTACGCATCCCAATTGTACATTCTTACGAATAAAATAAATTGATATGTTTGCAGAAGGAAAGGAATTCACCCCTTAATAACATGTCTGCTTAAAAAACCAAGGTATATTAAACAGACATGGGGGGACAAAGGTCTACGGATCGCTAAAAAATGACACGACGACCCCAAGGGGTGAAATCGATGTCAGATCCTCCAAGGAGGAAAGACGAACACTTAGCAAAATTCTAAGTAATTTTCTAAGGCGACGACCCCAAGGGGTGAAATCTGTGTCAGATCTTCCAAGTAGGAAAGACGAACACTTAGCAAAATTCTAAGAAATTTTCTAAGGCGACGACCCTAAGGGGTGAAATCGGCGTCAGATCCTCCAAGGAGGAAAGACGAACACTCAGCAAAATTCTAAGGAATTTTCTAAGGTGACGACCTCAAGGGGTGAAATCGGCGTCAGATCCTCCAAGGAGGAAAGGCAAACACTTAGCAAAATTCTAAGGAGTTTTCTAAGGCGACGACCCTAAGGGGTGAAATCGGCGTCAGATCCTCCAAGGAGGAAAGGCAAACACTTAGCAAAATTCTAAGGAATTTTCTAAGGCGACGACCCCAAGGGGTGAAATCGGCGTCAAATCCTCCAAGGAGGAAAGGCAAACACTTAGCAAAAATTCTAAGGAATTTTCTAAGACAACGATTGCAAAGCAAGGTACGAATAAAATCCGCTATCTTTATAAAAAGTACAGATGAAATATAAAGATGTCCAAATCAATATCAAGTTACAAACACGAAAAAAAAAGAGAAAGAAAGGTAAAAATTTCTTAGGCCTCGCCGCCAGCCGCCGATTCATCGCCATTACCAGGCGGGGAAAGGTTGTCGTCGCCAGTAGGAGGAGGACAAGTATAGAGGAAGCTGAAGTCCCACTCAGGACGCTCTTTTTTGACCAAATCAACGATCTGTTGACCCGCGGATTGAAAATCCTTAGTACGGATGTCGATGAGCTCCGGAGAAGCCTTGAACTCCTCAATAATTTCAGCACACTTGGCGTCAAAAGTAGCTGCAACCTCGGCTTCGGCTTCCCTCTTTCCCCCGGCCTTCCCTTTGGCCTTCCCTTCGGCAAAATATTTTTTCACCGCCTCAGCTGCTTCGGCCAACTTTGCATCGGACAGGTTTGCCAGCTTCGTAAGCTCCTCGACCAAAGCAGTCAACTTGGCCAGTTCACCTTCCAAGCTCGACAGTTTGGCCACGGCCAGGTCTTTCTCCTCGACGGCATCCGCGCACTTTTTCTTGGCATCGTCGACAAGAGAGTTAAGCTTGGCCTCCACACTGTCCATCTCCTTATCACGCTCCTCAACCTTAACTAGGTCGAGGAGATTGAGAATGGCGAGGATTAGGCCCTGACAAATTGGAGGTCAGAAAATAAGGATGCAAAGCGGCGAAACTAGCAAAAATGAAAGACAGCTCGATCAAGTCTTACGTGAATTTGGAAGGAGATCTACTTTCGCTGGCGATCAACCAAAGAAGATTGAGTGGCAGCAACCCAGTGTGGCTCGAGAAAAGACTCATACAGAGCCTGGAAGGCAAGGGAGAAGCAAGGGGAAAGGTTCAGCATCGCCCCAATCTTGGCGT